GGACAGCCCCACTGCCCCCAACCCTTCTTCCAGATGGCTGCTTCTCCCTTCCTCCCACCGCCACCTCCTCCCAGCCCACCCTGCTCTGAGGCCTGGTATTTTTTTCCCGCAGCCCGGTACCGGGCCGCAGCCCATAGCTTGGGAAACGCTGAACTAAACTAAGAAAACCACTTACTTCCTTCCATACTTCTGGATTTTTCTCCACATCATCTGGAAGAGACCCAAACTCCTCAGGAAATAGTTCAGAGAGGCGAATTATGTCCTCCCAGCCTTGATCAAAAAGCCAAGCATATGGTTTCTTTCGTGTACTCTTCTCCAGGGAAATATTGCCTAGTCACAATTCAGAAAAATAAATAAATATTACTATCATAAATGGGAGCACAATGTCTTGCAATTAATTTGCTGGAGAAATAGTTACTACTTTGCAAGTATTTGCATGCCAAGTTTGTTTTTTTGCCACTATTTATGCATTTAATTAAAGATGTACTCTTGAGCGTAAAATCCTTGCTCTTCTGAAGTCAATGTGAGCTTTGTCATTGATTTCACTGAGTAAGAATTTCACTGTTGGCCTTTCTGCCATCAAACAAGTTGGAAACAAATGCAAATGATTAGTATAAACCATCCTAGGCCTATTGTCTTAAGTAAGTTATGCCAATTTACGTCATCTAAGGATCCTTCTTTCTGTTACAATAGTTCTATAATCCATTAATAGAAGTCAGTAAACTACTATTTTGTCTTGTATATTTTTAGTTGAATATATGCCAGGTATTTTTGTTGAACATCTATCTTAAAATATTCTTCAGGGCTAGGGTTTAGTACACTAAGTTTTAGGGTCCATATGACCGAGGAGCCCAAGTCCCTTTGAAAGTAAATGGGACTTCGGTGATAACAGAAATTTATTCAGGAGCTCACTATGTTAGCTAAACAAAAGTAATCAAAATCTAGATTATAATTCTAGAAGAGCACATAACTACCATAAATTACCTTTTAAAAAAAAATCCAGTTCTTCTTGGGGGACTCTACCATCAGCTTGCTCTATCTTGATAGTCATATTAAAGGAAAAGAGTAATTTGTGTCTCTCAAACAACCCTGCAATGAGAAAAACATATTCTCCTCAGTTTTCTTTTTAGAATCTGGGCCTGGGTCAAATTTCAGATCCAGATTTTAACTCTGATCACACTACAAAGTTCAAGGTGGTGAATTTTGGTTCAGTCTACTATAGCGATTTGAACCTGCTAACATGTACACATCTAGAACTCACTTCAGATTCTAAATAATCTCCCCTCCAAAGCTCAGAGTTACAGATCGATTCTTCAGGTTTGGAACCACTGCTGTTTGTAACTGATTGTTTATTAAAAGTAGAAGCACTTCTTAAATGTCAAGGAGATAAAATACAGCACTTTTCTGCATCTCAGAGCAACATCAAAATAAGGGAAGAAAGGGAAGAGAATGCAGAAGCATTAGTAGTAAACAGAATGTTTAGTGAATTCAGTATTTTGACAACACAAAATTACATTGCATTGCACAGCTGACTGAAGGAATTCTCATCAAACATACACAGTGCCATCTCATTGCTTAATCACACTAACCTGTGCAGCCATAGTTATATATATTGAATGTCAATGTATCCATGATATTTTTTAGTCTCTTTGGAAGAATTGAATTGGGCATGGATTTCCGAAGTGAAAACCCAAATACATCTAAAAAGGAGGCCAAAGAATATTGATACATGGTGTTGACAAGGGCCATTTCAGACAAAACAAAGAACAAAATGGCGCCCCTCTTAGCAGCAGGTCGGTAGCCATCTCGCAACTTGTCAATATCCACTGCTGTCTTCTCAGCCAGTTTGAGTTTCTCTGATACCTAGCAAGTGAGAAATATGGACCCCAGGCATTAATTTTATCCATATATAACTACTGCACAGAACTACCTGGTAAAAATATGCTGAGCTAATCTGTGGCTAAATAATACTTAAATAGTGTATTGAAACATCATGAACAAATCTTCTAGGATTAAAAAAATGTATCTACCTGTAAATAAGTATCAGCATTTATATAAAAAAAAAATCTTATAAACATTGATAGATATGCCATCAACTGCCAGTCACTGCCATAGAATCAAGAACATTTCCTTGAACCAATCACACATTAAATTGGCTAAAATTTCAAATAGCCCTTTTAAAGAAAAATCATACTAATAAAAATTATTTTCTCCCTCCAAAAATGCTTTAGTTCAGTTTATTAAACTTCCAGATGATAAAGTTGGAATAGATAACACTGTTTATAAGAAATACTGGGAAAGATTTACAAATTTCAGTTAACATTAATTTTTAATAAAACTATGCAAAGATTCTTCGGGGGGGAGGGAGAGAGAGAGAGAGAGAGAGAGATAATTTTTAAAAAACCAAAGGTCCCTATTATAAGAAACATTTCTCTGAAGGTAGATTTATCATTTGCCTGATGGAATAAAACTTTCCCCATTACACTGAAATATGTGATGATGTAACATCACAAATTCATGGTTCAGGTGAAAGCTTTTTGACTCACCACCGGCATATCAAGCAAAATATGGTAAAGTGATTGTGTTTCATAAGCCCAAGATTTACTTTGGGCTTGTCTCTACTACAGCTGGAATAGTCACTGCAGTGATCAATCCACCAGGAGTCAATTTAGCAGATCTAGGAAAGACCCACTAAATCAGCTTCCAATAGTGTGGACATCCACTCCAGTACCCCATCAGAACAAGATGAGTAAAGAAAGTCAACAGGAGTTTCTCCCATTGGCCCAGTGAAATAAGCAGATCTAAGCTATGTCAACTTGAATTACGCTACTAATGTAATTTAAATTGCATATCTTAAACTGACTTGAACCTGTACTGTAGACCTGACCTTTGATACTTCTTCACAATAAGGTAATTCCTCAGGAGATGCCATACTGCCCAACCCCATCCCTAAAGATAATGTATTTCTGAATATGGATAAACATTTCTAGGGGGTCTGGGCAACTCTAAGCAAGCAAATTCTTAAAGAATTAAGATTTCTGTGCAGGTATGGAGTTCTCAGAGACAACAGCTTATCATGTAACTCTCAGCTCCTTTTCAACTCCATACATCCTAACGTAAGGAATAAAGGGGGATGAAACAAATCCCAAAAACCAGAAAGGAATTCCTAAGTATTGTAGAACTATAAGATATGGCTCTAATAGATACCTCAGTTGCTTTGGCTTTTGTCTCCTCCAGAGTATGCACCAAGTCCACATTATCCAACATGTTTCCTGTGGACGTTGCCAATTCCCGGAGGAGAGAGTCTTCCAAATCTTTCAGCAAGTTTTTGTTCTCACTGGTTTCCTGGATGAGATGTTCTCTCTGCTCTTCTAGCTCTCTTCTTTCAAACCCCACAATAACACTGAGCAGCTGATCCTCAAGACCTTTTAGTGTAACTATAGATGGAAAATGATGAACCATGTCTTCAACACAATCTTTCTTAAAACATATGGTTAGCTTTTACACAGTTTCTTCAGACTGTATGATAAATAACTTTATGATAAAAGACAGACTTAGTTAACAGCATTGTGCATTGTTCTTCTACATTGGTTCTCACCTGACATATCTAATAAGTAGAATCATGGATCACTAGAACTTGAAGGGACCTCAAGAGCTCAAGAGGTCATTGAGTCCAGTCCCCTGCCTTCATGGCAGGACCCAGTACCATCTAGACCATCCCAGGCAATAATTTGGGAAGGGGTCAAGGGTTGCACTCTTCCATTATATTAACGGGGGAGATGCGGGTGTTTGGGATAGAGGTTGGGTGCAGAAGGGGATTATGATATGGGGCAGCAGACTGGGATGGAGGAACAGGGTGCAGGGATAGGAGTGCAAAGGTCTGTCTTGTGACCTGGGACAGGGGATTGGTGTGCAGGGTCTGGGAGGGATATGGGTACAGGAGAGGATTCTGGCCTGAGTGAGGGGTATAGGATGAGGGAGTGCAGAGTCTGGGAGGGGATTGTGACCAGGGCAGAGAATTGGTGTGCAAGGTCTGGGAGGGGGTTGTAACCTGAGGAGGGGTACAGGAGGGGATGCAGTGTCTGGGAAGAAATATGGGGGCTACAGAAGGGGTGCAGAAGATTTGGTTACATGGGGTAGTGATGCAGGAGGGGACAGAAGGTTGGGAGAGAGAACAGCTAGCATGCCAGAGCCAGGATCTGGCTGAGAGGCCCAGCAGGTTCCTTAGCCAGGGTCCCTGTCTTTCTGCGAACAAAGGCAGCAGCCATGTTTGCTTCTGTAAATGCTATGAGCCCAGGAGATGAGGGTGGACGGACACTTCACAAGCGGCCTGTCCTGCAAATAGGTAGGTGTATTGGCCAGAAACTAGCCAATAGGAGCTACTGGAAAGGGGGCAGCGTGAGAAGCCTCTCCTTCCTCCTCCATGCTTTCAGCATTCAGAGACACACACATAGCCCTGCAGCCAGCTTTACTGAATGCTGAGAGGGGTTGGGCAGGCAGGGATCCAGCTGAGGCTCTGGCACTGCATTTGCCCACAGATAATATTTTGCTGAGCCCTGAAGTAGCATGTAGTTTACTTTCAGACTAGCATGTAGTTTACTTTCAGACTAACAGAAGGGAGGGGAAAAAATTAATATTAAATCATAGATGCATAGGACTGGAAGGGGATCTCTCTCAAGATGTCTTTTAGTCCAGTCTCCTGCACTCGAGTCAGGATTCAGAATTATCAGAGGCTGAATATACAGCTGAGGGGATCAGGGGGTACAAACAATATGACATAACAATGTATAATAGTACAATGTAACAGGTACTGAAAATTCCACTGGCAGTGAGCGAAGTTGTCTCCTAACATGGTCTGAGGGCTAGCAACTATTTACTGCATTTGCTCTCATTTTTCTGACTCACTTAGGCTAAGTCTACACAGGCGCTTTACAGTGCTATAATTTTTTGGCTTAGGAATGTAAAAAAACCACACATACACCTCGAGAGCAGTAATTTACAGTGCTATAAAGTACCATGTGGACTAGGCTACACCATTGGGAGCCATGCTCCCTGGACTGTTAGCTACTGCTCTTGTAGAGGTGGATTACATGGAGTGCCGGAAGAGCCATCTCCCAGTTCTCCTGCTATGGCCATGTTTTCAGTTGTTGACATTGCACTTTAAACTTTTAAGTGTAGACAAAACTTTGTGATAGATTCTGATCCCTAGACTGGGGCTGAGAAATAGCTTGCCCCATGAGATTTCAAAGGGACTAGTAGAGAAAGGTTCTACATACCATGAGAATCTGCCTTTTATTCAGGCCAGACATGGATTTACACAGGTGCACAACTAGCAGGTAATCCGGCCAAAAAATAGAATAACTGCCTATATTCATTGGCTTCAGGCTATCCCTGGGCTGAAAACACTTGAATTTTACAGGTGAATTCATCTAAAATCATGTACTATGGTTTCTGATACAAGAAAAAGGATCTTAGCTTTCTGGAGCAATCACTCACCTGAGCCTAGTTTATGCCCTAGGTTTGTATTACTGTGTAGTTAATGCTCTGCCTAATACCATGCACATGCTCACCTGTATAGTTAATAACCATGGCTTTTCCAAACACAGATGGTGAATATTTAGGGTTAGCTAGCTTGGTGTTCAGATACAATTTAAAGTTATGGTCATAATCCACTTCCTTATCTCCCAGCACGATAAAAATTCGCCCCTGGGCAACTTTTATATTCTTTTCTAAGACATTGTCAACGACAGGATCTATGTATTCATCCACATCATGGAACAAGAAAGGACTACCATACTTTATGGCCATTTCTAGTTGTTTAAGAAAATCAGGGTCATTAAAGGAAGCCATCTGAAAGAGAAAAGAATAATGGAAAGATTTGGAAATAGTTAATATTGAATTTACTGGATATTTTTATTTTACAATAATTGCCAGTGTTAATCAATCTATGCATCTCTACCTGTCATCCTACAGATGATATAACTTACACTAGGAAAGACCAAAGAAAACGTGTTTTATTTTGATCCAGTGAGAAAAACTGTCTACTTCGGCACTTGGAAAACAATTGTTTCCTCATGCAACTGTACCCTTTTCTCATAAAACACAATGTACCCTAAACTTTTGTCTATCATGTTCCTGCAAACACTTGGGCTTTCTGTAAGATGCAAGTAATGCACTTCGCAGCATAAGTAACAAGGTAAGCCCAGAGTTCATGTGAACTTGCAGGTAGAATGCAGAAAGAGGTATGGGGTATGGATGGCAGAGATATAAAATCCCATTTAATTAGTTAAACGGTTAAATGTAGTGCTGTTGATAAGGTTCCAGACCTCTGTGCAGGGGCTGCTCCTTTGACTCCTGGGCCCATGCAGGGGCTGTTG